ATTGTGGCACGAAGATGGTTGAACCCAAGGCAGAGTCAGTCAGTCAGTCAGTCGTACTCCTTCTCCTTCTTCTCCTTTTCCCTCCGCTCCCTTGTCATCCTCGTCCTTCCTCCTCCTTGTCCCTCATCTCCATTGTCATCCTCGTCGTTCTTCTCTTTCCCTCGCCCATCCGCGCGTCCCTTCCGCCTCCCTGCCATTTTTCTCCTGTGTCATACCCCCTCTCCCCACCGCCTTCCTTTTCCTTTTCGTCCTCCTCTTCCTTCTCCTTCTCCCTTCCCCCCTTTGCCCCGCGATTGTCCTCCTTTCTATCATCATCGCCCTCCTCCCCCTTGCTCCTGCCTTCGGCGTCGCTGCTGCCGGCGACGGCTGCGACGACGCGGCCGCCAACGCCGACGGCGAGGCGGGCCGCGGTCCCGGCCGCGAGGCCACCAGAACCCCGAGTGCGCGTACGCCACCACCTTCAACAACGTCACGGACGGGTGCCCGCGGGTGATCGATTTCAGCAGGAGCGGCCTCCAGGGGACCCCCGGGGGAGAAGGGGGAGAAGGGTCGAGGAGGACGATCGAGGGGGATCGAGGAGGATTGAGGAGGGTCGGGGAGGATCGACGGTCGAGGTTTGGAAACGCCTTTGGGCCTTGTCCCTCCCACGCTATCTTGCCTTCTCCATCTGTTGTAGGGTGCAGGTGGGGAAGGGAGGGAGAGGGCTCAAGACTGGGGGATCTGGGATGAAGACTGGGGAGTTGGGAATCGGGAGTACACATTGCGAACTCTGGGCCCCCCCCCGACCTCAGCGTTTTAATATTTCTGTCACTGTTTGTTCCCCTAGGGACGGGGGGATTTTGCCCTTCGCTTCACGGGGGTGATCAAGGAGTGGCTGGGGTTAGGGGTGCCGGCCATCGGCTGTCCGTCGGGCTCGTGGCTGGGGCTTTGTCGATGCCGATTCGGCCCAACCAAATCGTGCCCCAGGGGAGAGAGAGAGAGAGAGAGACAGAGACAGAGACAGAGACAGAGAGAGGAGGGAGGAACAAAGGAGGGAGAAAGGAGGAAGGAGGGATCCTGACCCTCAGGATTACAAGCTCTTTGGTATTATGAGGAGGGAGGAAGAGAGAGCAACGAGGAAAGGTTGGGGAAGGAAGGTTGGTTGCCCCGTGTTGCAGCTCACAGCCAGGACGGCGAGGGGGGGGGGGGGCGAATTTTGTATTGAGTTTTGAGGGAGATTCCCCCCTTACATCATCGTCCTCCTCCCCCTGCCTCTCCTTGTCGCCCTCCCCCTCCTCGTCCTCCTCCTTTCTTTTTCCTCCTTCTTCCCTCTGCCTTCTCCGCCTCCTCGCTCCTCCTCTGCTGCCCGCTCCCATATTTACTTCCTCTTCTTGCTCTTGCTGGTCCGCCTGCTCTCTCCTGTCTTCCCTCCCTTCTTCCATCCCGCTCCAGCTGGAAGGTGAGCCTTCGGATGCCTGGAGTAGGGATGAAGAGGGGAAGGTGGATGATGATAATTATGATGATGCTGCTGGTGGTGTTGTTGTTGATTATGGTGATGCTGATGATGCTGAGTGTGATGATGATGCTGATGCTGATGCTGATTATGATGATGACGATGATGATGATGTTGATGATGATGAGGATTGGGAGGATGAGGGTGATGAGGATGATGATGATGCTGATGATGCTGATTATGCTCTTGGTGATGACGATGATGATGATGACGATGATGATGCTGCTGATAATGATGGTGACTTTGATGATGATGCTGCTGATGATGATGCTGCTGATGATGCTTACTATGACTATGCTGCTGCTTCTTACGATGATGATGCTGATGATGATGTTTGATGCTGCTGATTATGACGCTTGTGATGATGCTGATGATCTTGTTGCTGCTGAGGATGATGCTGATGCTGATGCTGCTGATGCTGATGATGACGATAATGGTGAGGATGATGTTGTTGCTGATGCTGATGCCGATAATGATGATGCCGATGATGAGGATGAGGATGAGGATGACGATAGTGATGCTGATGATGATGCTGATGAACCTGATGACGATGACGCTGCGGCTGCTGCTAATGATGCTGCTGATGTTGATGCTGATGATGATGATGATGACGATGATGATGATGATGATGCTGATGATGATGATGATGATGATGTTGGTGCTGATGCTGATGCTGATGCTGGTGTTGATGCTGACGCTGGTGCTGGTGATGATGATGCTGATGACGATGATGGTTATGACGCTGGTGATGGAGATGGAAATGATAGTGCTGATGCTGATGCCGGTCACGATGGCAGCTGTGCTGATGATGCTGTTGTTTGGTCATAGGGCTGATGCTGCTGCTGAGGATGATGATGATGCTGATGCTGATGATGATGATGATGATGATGCTGATGATGATGATGATGATGATGATGATGATGATGATGTCGGCGATGACGACGTGGGTGATGCTGACGATGATGATGCTGCTGATGTTGATGCTTATACTTATTATGGTGATGCCGATGCGGATGATGATGATGATGATGATGATGATGATGATGATGATGATGATGATGATGATGATGATGATGATGATGATGAGGCGGGCGGTGATGCGGATGGTGCCGATGATGATCGTGGTTTTGGCGAGGATGATGATGAGGATGCACACATACACACATACACACAGACACCCATGCACACAACATACATACACACACATACACACATATATATATGCACAGATGATGATGCTGATGATGACGATGATGCTGACGATGATGATGCTGATGATGAGGATGCAGATGCAGATGATGATGATGATGATGATGATGATGATGATGATGATGATGATGGTGGTGGTGGTGATGATGATGATGATGATGATGATGATGATGCTGATGATGATGATGATGATGATGCTGATGATGCTGCGGCTGAGGATACTGATGCTGATGATGGTAGTGGTGGTGACGATGATGCTGCTGATGCTGAGGATGACGCTGATAATGATGCTGATGATTCTGCTGATGGTGGTACTGAGGAGTAGGAGGAGTAGGAGGAGGAGGAGGAGGAGGAGGAGGAGGAGGAGGAGGAGGAGGAGGAGGAGGCGGAGGAGGAGGGAGGAGGGAGGGAGGAGGAGGAGGAGGAGGAGGAGGAGGAGGAGGAGGAGGAGGATGATGCGGATGAGGCGGATCAGGAGCAGGAGCAGGCGGAGAAGAACAGGGGAGGCGGTGGGGAAGGGAGGGAGGGAGGGAGGGAGGGATGGAGGGAGGGAGGGAGGAGGGCTCGGATAAGACGGACGAAAGGCATAGACTGCGCAGAGGGAGTAGGAGAAGTGGGAGGAGGAGGAGGGGAGGAGGGTAGGAGGAGGAGGAGGAGGAGGAGGAGGAGGAGGAGGAGGAGGAGGAGGAGGAGGAGGAGGAGGAGAGGAGGAGACACGGGACGTGGTAGGGAGAGGGGGACGACACAGATGACATAAGGCATGGCAGGGAGGGGGAGGGAGGAGGGGTGGGGGTGAGGGAGAGGAACATATGAACGAGGATGGCAAGGGAGTGGAGGGAGTAGCAGCAGGAGGAGGAGAAGGAGGAAGGGGAGGAGGAGGAGAGAGGAGGAGGAGGAGGAGGAGGACAAGGGATGAAGGGTGCTGATGCTGATGATGTAAAGGAGGAGGGGGCGGAGGAGGGGGAGGAGGAGGAGGAGGATGAGGAGGAGGACGAGGAGGAAACGGAGGATGAGGAGAAGGACGAGGATGAGGAGGAGGACGAGGAGGAGGAGGAGGAGGAGGAGGAGGAGGAGGAGGCGGAGGGGAGGAGGAGGAGGAGGAGGAGACACGCAGGAGGGAGGAGGAGGATGAGGAGGACACGCAGGTCGAGGCGGATAACGACTCCGTCGATCTAGTTTTGCCCCTCCTTCTCGTCCTGTTTTTCCTGCTTAGGTTGTTGGGTCCCATTGTCCCCACCAGGAGCTCCCCTGGAGTCCTTCTGGGACCCTCCACGCCATCATTCTTCCCACTCCGCAGGGTGGGAAGAATGATGGGACGGAGGGGGGAGGGAGGATGGAGGAGGAGGTAGGGAGGGTGGGAAAGAGGAGGGAAGGAGGGATGGTAGGGTGGGAAGGAGGGAGGAGGAAAGGATGACGGGCAAGTGCGACGAGCGCCCTCGTCCTTCTCGGTGTCGAAGTCGCCGTCCTCCTCCGAGTGCACGGGTCCTCCTCCTCCTCCTCCTCCTCCTCCACCTCCTCCTCCACCTCCTCTTCGTCCCTTCCCCCCCCCCCACTCCTCCTCCTCCTGCCTCCTCCTCCTCCTCCTCCTCCTTCTCCTACCCCTCCCTGTGCCTGTCCGCTGCCCCCTACCCCTCCCGCTCGAAAGCACGATCACTACGCCAGAGTGGGAGTACGACGTCACGTCCTCTTCTTCCTGCTCCTCCTACGTAATCCTGCTGCTGCTGTTGCTGCCTTTCCTGCTGCTGCCGAGGCAGCTGGGTGCTGCTCCATAGGGATGGGGTGGGGTGGGGTGGGGTGGGGTGGGGGGGGGGGAACGATGCTGTGTTCAGGGGGGTGGCTGCATCACCGCTCCACGGTGCGCTGTTAATCTGGCATGAATGTTGTACCCTTCGGCTTCAGCTTCGGCTTCGGCTTCGGCTTCAGCCGTGGGTGCACTGCGAAGCGCCTTCGGGCCAGCTCGTCGAGTCGTTTTTTTTCCGCTCGCACGGGTGCCTCCTCCCACTTCCCTTCCTCTTCTTTCTCTTATTCCTCGTCCTCCTCCTCGTCCTCCTTCCCGTCCCCCTTATCCTCCTCCTCTTCCTCCTCCCCTCCTCTTCCTCCTCCTCCTCCTCCTCCTCCTCCTCCTCCTCCTCTCTCCCCGCCCCCCTCCCTTTCCACCTTCCCACATCCATGTCCTCCAACTCTTCAACCTCCCCATCGACGGCCTCCTCCTCCTCCGCCTCCTTCCGCTCGAAGGCACGATGCAGAGCGCTCGTGGATGTCCGAGTACTACATCACCAACAAGCCTTCCACCGCTTTCCACGACTATAGGCCGATCTACAGGTCGGTCGACAAGGAGCTCGGAATGCACATCTACTACATTGCGGGGGCCCTGGAACCCACGATCGCCGACATCACCTGGTCTTGTGGGCGAAAAGCATGCCCGTACCCCTTGCCTCGCGGGCCAGGCCCTTGGGCCGCGTCCGCGCGGATACGGGCCGTTTTTTCCCCCATCCAAAGTGGGTTTCTTGTTTTCTTTGCACACCCTCCGCGCAGGATCTCTCCTCCTCCACTCTCTCTCTCTCTTTCTCTCCTCCCTTCGCATACTCACTCAATCACTCACACGCACCATCATCATCACATTCACCCACTCACACTATCATCACCAGCGCTGTCATCACTCGCACATTCACTCATGTTGGGGATGTATCAGGCAGGAGCCTTGTCTACGAGTGAATTGCGAAGAAGTCTCAGGCGGGAGCCCCCTCCCTATGGGGCTCGCTTTTCATGTTCGAATCCGAGCGGGTCATTTGCCTCCTGCAATTATCTTCACTTTTGGGCCCCTGAGGCCTGAATATGAAGGAAATATCAGGCGGGAGCTTAGTCTGTGAGCGAATTGCGAGAGAGTCTCAGTCTCAGGTGGGAGCCCCCTCCCTAGGGGGCCCGCAGCTCATGTGTCGAATCCGTGGCGGGTCATCTGCCACTTGCACTGTCGTCACTTTTGGGCCTCTGAGGCCTGCATATGGAGGAAATATCAGGCGGGAGCCTCGTCTGCGAGTGAATTGCGAGGAGGTCCCAGGTGGGAGCCCCCTCCCTATGAGGCCCGCAGCTCATGTGAGGAATCCGAGTGGGTCGTCGGCCTCCTGCAACTGTCGTCACTTTTGGGCTCCTGAGGCGTGAGTCAGGGGGAAGTATCAGGCGGGAGCCTCGTATGTGATCGAATTGCGGGGAAGGCTCAGGCGGGAGCCCCTTCCTTACGGGACCCGCAGCTCACGTTTTCAATCCGAGGCGGGTCATTTGGCCTTTTGTAACTGTCATCACTTGTGGGCTCCTGAGGCCTGAGTATGGAGGAAGTATCCGACGGGAGCCTCGTCTTTGAGTTAATTGCAAGGACGTCTCAGGCGGGAGCACCCTCCCTATGGGGCCCACACTTCATGTTCGAATCCGAGGCGGGTTATCGGCCTCCTGTAGCTGTCGTAACTTTTTGGGCTCCTGAGGCCATCTTATGGAGGAAGTATAAGGCGGGAGCTTCGTCTGTGAATGAATTGCGAGGAAGTCTCAGTCGGGAGCCCCCTCTTTACGGGGCTCGAACCTCACGTGCTTTCTTTGGGTCGTCCTCCGGCGCGCGCTTCCTCCGTGTCGTTTGGCGCGTAGCCGCTGGGACGCACGTCGTGCGTTTCCTCTAGGTCGTGTTCCGCACAAGGAGGAGGAGGAGGAGGAGGAGGAGGAGGAGGAGGAGGAGGAGGAGGAGGAGGAGGAGGAGGAGGAAAGCCCTAGGAGGCCCCAGGAGGTCCCGGGAGGCCCAGAAAGCTCCGGGAGGCCCCAAGAGGCCCCAGAAGGCCCCAGGAGGAGGCATGAGGCCAAAGGAGGAGAGAGGAGGAGGAGGAGGAGGAGGAGGAGGGAGGAGGAGGAGGAGGAGGAGGAGGAGGGAAGGAGGAGGAGGAGGAGGAGGAGGAGGAGGAGGGGAGGGAGATGGAGACGAGGAGGAGAGGCGGAGGAGGGAGGGAGAGGAGGAGAGAGGGATGATGAGGAGGAAAAGGAGGAGGAGGAGGCGGAGGAGGAGGAGGGAGGAGGAGGAGGAGGAGGAGGAGGAGGAGGAGTGGGAAGAGGAGGAAGCGGAGGAGGAGGATGAGGAGGAGGAGGAGGAGGAGGAGGAGGAGGAGGATGAGGAGGAGGAGGAGGACGATGAGGGAGGAGGAGGGAGAGGGAGAGGGAAAAGGAGGAGGACGACAAGGAGGAGGAGGAGGAGGAGGAGGTGGTGGAGGAGGCAAGAGGGGGAGGAGGCAGGGGTTGAGGCAGGAGGAGGAGCAGGCAGGAGTAGAAGGAGGAGGCAAGAGTAGGTGGGAGGAGGGAGGGGGCAGGAGGATATCCCAGGCCATTCTAGACGCTTCGCGTATCACACCAGCCCACCTGAGGTCGCCACTGTCGGCATGCGACACAGGTGCGCTGGGCTGCCTGCTCAGCCTCACGCTATGCCGTGCTTCGCTCGGGTGGCTCGTTTACCTCTGGCGCCTGGCGCGACAAGGTACACTTCGTTTGCCTTCGCGGTGGTCCCGCCCCTGGAATGGTTGCATTTCAGCCGCCTGGCACACCTGGCACCTCTTGCAGCTCTGCCTCAGTCCCTGGCGTCGCTCCTCGGCGTCCCTCGGCGGCAGTTTCGGCGGCCGATAGTTCGCGCAATTCGGTAATTAGGCTTGGCTCGTAGCCCTTGCTGACTTCGGACGCCGCCCGCGCTTCCGCTTGCGGCCGCGACGGAAAACATCCCCACCAGCCCATCCAGAAACGATGCCCAGAGGAATTGCCTCGATCAGGGAGGTGGGCAGCACAGCGAACAGAGGAAGGGTCCCCCAGTGGAGGCCTCTTGGAGCGTCTTGGGGGGCCTCTTGGCGGTCCCGGGCGCCCCTTAGAGCGTCTTGGGTGCCTCGGAGAGCTTCTTGGGGCCTCTTGGGGGTCTCGGGGGATCCTCTTGGAGGCCTCTTGGGCGCCTGTTGGGGCCTCTTTGGGCCGCGTGGGCGCCTCTAGGGGCCCTCTTGGGACGCTCTTGGGAGCCTTGGGAGCGCTCTTGGAGCAGCCTTGGGCCATCTTGGAACCATGTTGAGGCTTTGGATGCGAGAAACTCAATCACATTGATTTCCCCTAAGGATCTGGAAGGATTTTGGCCTTTTCGAGGCCTCCCGGGGGAGCTCTTTGGCCACTTGGAGCCGTCTTGGGGCGGTCTTGGGGCCTCTTGGGGTCTCGTGGGGGCCATGTTGAGGCATCTTGGGATATCTTGAGCCATCTTGGAGGTCTTTTTGGGCTCTCCCACGCGCTCTTGGAGTCATCTTAAGCAGTGCCCCCCCCGAGGAAGCCAACATGTGGCCAAAACCTTAGCAAAATCAATGATTTTGGCAGTGTCGCCGAGGCCTCTTGCATCGTCTTGGGTGCCATTGGGGGGCCTCTTGGGGCCTCTTGGGGGTCTCTTGGGAGCCTCCTGGGGGTATCCTGGGAGCCTCTGGGGGTCTCTTGGGGCCTCCTGGCCACCTCTTGGGGCCCTCTTGGGGCGCCCTGGGGGGCCCTGCGAGCGCTCGTGGGACGATCTCGGAGGAGATCGATCAAAGAAGAGGGGGGTCTTAATTAGCGCCGCCCCCCCAAGAGGCCAACATGGGACCATAACCTTGGTAAAACCAGTGATTTTGGCTTCCTCGACGAGGCCGTTTTGGACACTCTGACCGCTCGCGGAAACCCCCGTCCAACCCCTCCCCGAGAACAGGAAACACTCTAAACCACCTACGCCCTAAAGGGGTGGTGGGACTTAAACAGATTCCATGCGGGGTCCTACCGTCGGAATAATTCGCGGATGCTCCGCGCGGAGCGCACTCGTGCGACCGCGTATTGGGATGACAGCGTGTTTTTTTCATGGGATAATGGTGTTGCAATCGGATGCCAAGGTGGTCATATCTGTCCCAACCAGGCCTGCAAGTGGGCCACAGATGCCTCAATCAGCTCAGGGGGCTTATGGATTATTGACAACGTGGGCGGAGCCCACCCATCCTTGATCGCTGTCCCCCCTAAGCCACTCGGGACATGTGTAGCCCATTTGTAAGCCTGGTTGGGCCAGATATCACCACCTTGGCATCCGCTTGTCGCCCCCCTATCCCCTTCGCAACCCCCGCGATCATCCCGGTATCCGCGGGATGGCGCCCCGGAGTCCAGACCGCGAGGGCGCGGGAACGGATATGCCCGCTGCCCGTGACGCTCTGCGCCGGTCGGCCAAGCCGCGACCGCTCGGCATCGAGTTCGGCCCGCTCTGGCGTCGGCCAGCCCAGGGGATTTTTCCAGGGCGGTCTCGGTCTGGGCGCGGGCCGGTCGGAAGTTGGAGGAGGCTGGCGCGGAGGAGGCGACGAGCAGGGAGGAGGGGGACGAGGAAGGAGGGACCCAGACATCCAGAGTCTCGAGCCGAGACGTTCTGTTTTTGTGATTTTTTGGCTTCCGGAGGTTGGCCTCGGTCCTCGGGACCGTCAAAGCACGCTTCAGGATGAAAAGCCCGTCCTGGGGGAGGGGTCGAGAGATCTGGGGGTCCGCGCCTCGAAACATTCGAGATGCCGGATATTTGGGGAGGGGGGAGTAAGAAACGAGGAGGGAGAAGCGAGGAGGCGGGAGAGGGGAAGAAGAGGAGAGGCGAACGGGAGGGAGAGGAGGAGGGGGGAGGGAGGAGGAGGGTGTGCAGAATAGGAGGGATGAGGGGAGGCTGAGAGGATGAGGCGAGGAGGGCAGGAGGAGGTGGAGGAGGAGGAGGAGGAGGACGAGGAGGAGGAGGAGGAGGAGGAGGAGGAGGAGGAGGAGGGGAGGGAGGAGGAGCAGGAGGAGGGGGAGCAAGAAGGGGGAGGAGGAGGAGGAGGAGGAGGAGCAAGAGGAGAAGGAAGAGGAGGAGGAGGAGGAGGAGGAGGAGGAGGAGGAGGAGGAGGAGGAGGACGACGACAAAAAGGCGAGGAGGGGCGCGATCCTCGCTGCAGCTCCCCGCGCCGCCCGCCGCGCCGGCTTCCGCTCTCGCGGTGATCGGGCGACGAGATCTGTGCACATCCGCTGCCTCTGGCCCGAGACATGCTGTGCGGAGGAGCGGTGCAGCACGGTGTAACCTCAGGACGTCATCAATCTTGCCGGAGGCCCCCCCCCATAAGATTTTGGCGGAAAATACGCTCTGCGCGTCCCCCTGTTCGTCTTGTCCTTGTTCTCGGTCTCCTTCTTCTCCCCTTCCTCCTCCTCCGCCTCCTCCTCCCCCTCCCCTGGTAGGAGCAGGAGTAGCAGCACGACAACAACGACGACGAAGACGACGATGACGACGACGATGACGACGACGACGACGACGACGGCGGCGGCGGCGGTGGCGGCGGCGGCGGCGACGGCGACGGCGACGTCGTTGGAGACAGCGACGGAGACGGCGTTGGCGACAGAGACGGCGACGGCGACAGCGAAGATGGCGGCGGCGGCGGAATAGTTATTTACCGATCATTGTCGGGTGTGGACAACCCTCAGGTAGCCTCGGAAACCAACATATTCCTCTCGCGTCTCATGGTGCACGTCCGTAGTCCGCGCAGTCCAGTCGTTGCGGGGCCTGGTGGGAGCCCCTTTCGGGCCTCTTAGAGGCCTCTTTGAGGTTTCTTGAAGCCTCTTGGGGGCTTTTGGGGCCTCATGGGGGCCTCTTGGGGGGGCGGTCTTAGGCTGTCTTGGGGCGCTCTTGCGCCGAGGCTATCCTGTGGGCCTTTCGTGGCCGCCTTGGGGCTTTCTTGGGTCCTCTTGGGCCGTCTTGGGGGCCTCTTGGACCGTCTTGGGGGCCTATTTGGCCGTCTTGGGGCTCTCGTAGGCTGTATTGGGGTTTTCTTGGGGGCTTCTTGGGAAGTCTTGGGGCCATTTTGGAGACTGCTTGGGCCGTCATGGACCTCCCAGAGTCGACACAGGCGAGAACGCTGCAATTCCTTATAAACTTGAAGCGCATCAATGTTTTTGGCGCCTGAAGGTGCTCTTGGGGCCCCCTTGGGGCCCGCAGGGGCCATCCTGGGGGCCTACTGAAACCTCTTAGGGCCATCTTGGGGCGACCTTGGGGTCATCTTGGACCGTATGGAGGCCCTTGGACCCCCAAGGAGCCCAATAGGCCGACATCATAGATTTTCATCGGGTCTTACAAGTTTTTGGGCCCCAGAGGGGGGGGCATCCTGGTCGGCGGAAGTGGCGTGACCTCGAGGGACTCGGAGCCTTTTCGGATTTGTTTCGAGAGTTTCTTGGAGCCCTCTAGGCGCGTCTTGGGGGTCTCCTGGCAGTCCTGGGCGATTATCGGGGGCATTGGGGGGCCTCTTGGGGCTCTCCTGTGGGCCTCCTGGGGGCATCGTGAGGGCCTCTTGGGGCCTCTCGGGCACCTCTTGGGGAAGTCTCGGGGCATCCTCGGGAGCCTCGGGGGCCATCTTGGGAGAGATCGATCAAAACGAAGGGGGGTCGTTACTTAAGGTTCCCCCCCCCAGGAGGCCAAAATGCGGCACATTCCTCAGTGGCATCAGTTAGTTTGGCCTTCCCGCCGAGGCCTCTTGGGGCGTCTTTGGTACCTTTTGGGGGCCTCTTCGGGCCTTTGGGGGGCCTTTTGGGGTCCTCGTGGGGGCCTCTTGGGGTCTCCTGGGCACCTCTTGGGGCCCTCTTGGGGCACCCTTGAAAGCTTCGGGGGCCCATCTTGGGGCCATTTTGGAGGAGACCGATCAAAGGAGGGGAGCTCCCCGATCAGGGTCGTGGCCAACATCTTTGTAAAATCCGTGATTGAGGCATTCTCGCAGAGGCCTCTTCTTGGGGCGTCTTGAGTGTCTCTGGGGGGCCTCTTCGGGTCTCGGTCTCTTGGGAGCCTCTTGCGGTCCTTTTGGGCGCTTCTGGGAGGCCTCTTGGGGCCTCCTGGGGACCGTCTGGGGCCCTCTTGGGGAATCCTTTGAAGCCTCGGGGGTCCCATCTTGGGGCCATCTTGGAGGAGATCGATCAAAGGAGTGGAACTCCCCAATTGGGGTCCCCCCCAGGAGGCCAAACGTTTTGCCCCAAACCACAGCAACATCAATGATTCAGGCTTCCTCGCCGAGGCCATCTTGGACGCCCCAACGTTTCGCCAAAAAACGTTCCGTCCAGGTCTAGGGGGGGAGGGGGTGTGGGGGTCAGGACACCGCCCCCGCACGGAAGCCGTCTCGCTCTTTCCCGCCCGCCCACCCAAGGCAGAAGTAGCACCCGAGCAGCAGCGTGTTCAGTGGCAGTCTTTGGATGGACAGCCAATGGGAATCGAACGCTGGGGCGAGGCGCGCCGGGCGTGCCGGGCGCGCCACGCGCGCCCGGTGCGCCAGGCACCCCAGTGGCCGGAGCGTGCCGGGCACGCCTGGTGCGCTAGATGCGTCACCTGAATCCACGTACGCCATGTGTGCCGCATGCTCCAGCCGCGCCAGAGGTGCGCCACCTTCGGGGCACGCACAGAGAGTGCCAGGTGCGCCTGCCCCCCTTGGCAGCACTCGAAAACGAGTGCGCCATCGCGGCGGGGTTGGCCATCATAGCGTCTGGTTGGGCCTGCACATCGCAGGCCACAGGTCGGCGCCCCCGCCCTGCACATCGCAGTCAAAAAACCAATGAGCAGTCGTCGCGGCGTGCCCGCGCACGATCCAGATTTTGTCTCGAAGTACACGTTGTTTTGTTTGCTGACAGGGATATAGGCCCTGCGCGCAGCAGGCAATATGCAGCCCCCCCCCGTCCCTGTCAAAGAACACTCCAAACTGCTCGCGGCCCCCCGACCATGACCCAAGGTTTTGTCCCACAGTGGACTTCACGTTGGTTTTTGACTGATGGTGTGGGGGGGGCCCTCATTGGTCCTGGTTGGCTCCCGGTCGCCTGGGGGAGGGGGTGTCTATTAATGGGGAAGAGAGACAGAGCCCCT